TGGGGGCCCCCAGGGCCCGCAGGGCCCTGGGGGCCCCCAGCTACACCCACGCTGTCGGCGGGCCCCGGCGCAACCCCACCCTGAAGACCCACGGGGGGAGGGGGTGAGGGGGCCCCCTGGGGGGCCCCCTGGGGGGCCCCTGGTGGGGGGCCCCCACCAACAGAGATTCCACCAGCTACGCCAAGAGCAATGCCAGCAGGAAGAGATACTTGCGGGGGGCCCCCAGCTGCTACAGCTACACTGCTGAGCTGCGGGGGGGGCCCCCCTATTCCGCTTATGTGGGGGGTGGGGACCCCCACACCCACAAGGGGGCCCCCGTTGCTGCTACTCTGAGACACGCCGGTGAGGGGGGGGCCCCCCAGCTCACATGCTGTTGTTATAGATGGGGGGCCCCCCTGGGGTGTACCGGGAGGGGGGGCCCCCAGGGTACTGACGGCTGCGGATATAGGGGGGGGCCCCTGGTGGGCCCCCCGTATAGATGAACCTACACCGACAACACCACCAGCAGCAGCAGCAGATGGTCCTGCTGCTGCTGCTGCTGCTGATGCTGCTGATGATGATGATGATGCAGCAGCAGGAGATATACAGGGGGGGCCCCCCACTGCAACTGAGGGGGCCCCCACACATGAGGGGCCCCCAACAGGAACAACAGGAGGGGGGCCCCCCGCTGTACGGCCCATTGACTTCAAGGGGGCCCCCGTCCCTACATCTGCAGCAGCAGCAGCAGCAGCAGCAGCAGCTGCTGCTGCTGCTGCTGATGTAGGGGCCCCACACACCGCAAGGTCTGTAGGAACAACAACCCCACCCATACACACAGAGCTATAGCCAGGCAGACAACCCCCTAGACCTGCTGCTGCTGCTGCTGCTGCTGCTGCTGCAGTGTTTGAGTCGCCTGACCCAAAGAGAGAAGCTGTAGTATTACTGTTGCTGCTGCTGCTGTTGCTGCTGCTGCTGCTGCTGCTGCTGCCTAGGGGCAACGCCTGCAGATGAGGGACACAGACACCCCCATCGAAGCCGGGTATGTGGGGCCCAACAGCAGGAAGAGCTGCTGCACCTGCTGCTGCTGCTGCTGTTGCTGCAGCAGCAGCAGCAGCAGCAGTTGCTGCTGCGCTGCTACCCGGAGCTGCTGCTCCTATGCGGCTGCCAGCAGCAAGGCTGCTGCAGTTTGCTGCTGGATCAGAGAGTAGGCCCCCACACCCCGCTGCTGCTAGAGAAGCAGCAGCAGCATCTGCTGCTGCTGCAGCATCTGCTGCTGCTGCTGCTGCTGGTGCAACCCCCAGCTGATGCAGGGCCCCCAGCATCTGGTTCTGATTAGCGAATGCTAGCAGCAGCTGCTGCC